GGGGTTCTTCTTTCAAGTCTGTTCCTCATCTTGTCTTATGCTGTGAAAGAGCTTGGACTCCTTTACTGTCACTGTCCGTTAGTGCCTTTTCAGTCATGACTCAGGATTACATTTTTAGTCTGTCCCTTTCAATTCCAATGTCCGTTTTCGATCGAGCACTTCTAGATGATGATGATGATGCATGCTGTTTACAAAAAATGATGTGGGTGGTTGGCAGGTGCTCTGGTGTGATTTGTTCCTTCTTACCTATCAGACCTCTATCGTCCTTATCTCTCCTCTTTCTTTTTTGTGTTTGTTACTTACTCTCTTGTTACACCTCTAATCTGCAGCACTTATGTGACTATATTGTGTTCACGTGCTGTTAAAGTCTTACTAAAACAAAAGCATTTTCAGTACACAGAAAAAAGTGTGTAGTCATTTCTCTCTGAACCCAATGTCTGTTTTAGGTCTAGCACTTCAATGTCATGATGATGACAATGATGTTTGTTGTGTACAAAAAGTGAAAGCAATAATTGTTGTAAGGAACATAGGATTTAGAAACAAAACAAAACAGTCTTTTTCCGAGTGCAAAAAAAGAGAGAGAAAAGATCGTTGTAAAGAACAACTGCTGTTTGGGAAACAAAACTTTTTCTGCACCTTTAAAAAACGAATTTGATATATCTATGTCTTAGGCTCATGACATTATTTTGTTTTTTCCTCTTTCCAGACTCTAAAGAAAAGAAGGCGCCACAGGGCATGGGAGTACCCAACATGGGCCAGCCGGGAATGGCGATGGGACCGGCGGGAAGCATGGGCAACCCGCAGCAACCCAACATGGCCGCCGTCCAAGGTCAGGGTCTGCCAGACCCGATCAATGCTCTGACCAACCTGGCTGGCCAAGGGGGCAGTGGCATGGGTAAGGCTATGTAGGGCGGCACGCTTGTCAGAAGTGGTGCTTATGTTTGTCTGTCTGTCTGTCTGTCTTAGTGAATGGTTAATGAAAATAGTGTGATCGTTTGCGGTTGCGAGCTCTGAAAGACTCTTACTAAAAACACGTCTAATTTTGTAGCGGTG